TGTAGAGACAAATACTGACAATCTGGTTTTTACACTACAGTAGTGAATCAGTTAAACCACTGTGACTTAAGACGAAAGATAAAATCCTGAAATACAACATTTATCTTGCCAAAAACAGATGAAAATAAATAAGATCAATTATATAACTATTTCTTATAGGAAAGCAAATACAAAATTGTCATCACATAGGCTAGTAAGTAGGTCATTAGAATAACTAAGTTGTAAAGTTTGACAAAAAAGTAGTCAAACTTAAAATGTGTCTAAATAATAAAGTAATCGTATATATGTTAACAAATTAACCTAGAAATTTATTTGCCAAACACTGACTTAGACACTAAAATTGCTGTTTCAATCATCTAAAGCAATACATATAGGTAGTAAATATATATTGAATATCATTATTTTAATGTTTAATAATGTAAGTAGTTGATAAACTAGTACTTGATTGAGATCATGAACCGACTGGTGTTAAACCACCATTGGAAACCTAAGAGCACCGGACGGGACTCCTCAACAGTGCGCATCCACGATCCCGCTCGCGTGATCTGAACCCAGGGCCTTCACTTTCGCGTACGAACGCTTAACATACTCGACCACTGGGCCGGCATTCATTGGTGTTAATGTCTAACCTTAACCATTCCACGAAATTGCGCGACCATCTTCTATTTTACTGAGGTAGATACTTGTCTCTACCCGACATGGATTAGCTCCACCTTTACTGAAAACACAATATTCATTTAGAAGGAATAGATATTATTTATGTATTTATGTACAGGCGTATATGTGTATGGATAATATTTTAAATTAATCAAATATCTAGATGCGTCTTAGTTTCAAGTATACGTTCACTCCAAGCTGAAATAAATATCATAGATGAATAAAGAAGCTATTAAAATTCTGATTTGATATAATTAAAAAAGCCAACTTCTATATTTGTGATCTCATTGGTTCTTTTACTTTGTGATTTCGAGTTTTGAATAAAATCTATAGAGGTGTAGTATGGGAACAGTAACAATCGATTACTAATAAAAAAAAAGTACCTAGAGAGTCATAAATGTGTCTGAATGTGTAGGTTTTTGCCTAAATTCTATGCAAGCAATAAAAACTACTATATAGAGATCTGTTAGTTGATTAACATTATTTCTAATACTTACAGACTTCTAAAGCCGAAGAATGGGGTACTCTAGCTCAGGATTCATATGGAAATATTGTTAAAGACCTATTTAACAATCACAGATAATTTAAAGAATTTTTAGAAGTGAGATATTACGTGTTACTACATATTTAAACCAAAAATAAGTATTCATGACGAAGGAATAGCCAAGTTCTACAGGAAACATACTGATTATTGTGTACTTTCATTTAATATTATACAAATAACAAATATAACTGTAATGGAAGTTGGGTAAAATGAAATGATTATCGAAAAAACAACGATCTACTTTATTTTCGTCTTTATTACCAACGGCTGAAAACTGTGGTTATATAATGAATAAATACTTTTGTAATGAAAATTAAAAAGGAAACTCTGATACTGGAAAACACTGAATGAGATATTTAAAAACTAACTACTTTTGTAAACCCTACATGGCTTCGCAGCATTGTAGTTTACCACTTTATTTGTTTTCCCTATAATATTAACGGCGGTTTTCTTTATTGGGTCTCCGAATATCATAAAGAAATTAGTTATTTTCATAAGAATACCATTTCATATTCCTTATGACTACTTGAGAAAAGTCAGTGTTTAATATGTGATATGGAAAATCAAAGAAATTTATCAATTTCTGTCAATTAGATCAATAAGGGGAAATTACGAATTTGTTAATGAGAATGGAACCCGTAACAACTTGTAACAACATATATTCACATCAAATAATGTTCAGTGAAAGTAACAATTCATTCTCAGAAAAATGAGTTCTTCTCTTATAGAATTTGTTGACATGGTACAAATTAACTCATTTAGATAAATGACTGAAACAAAAACTAGAAAAACAATTCCTTACATTAAGAAATTTCACAGGTTTAAATCATGAGTCAGTTGAAGCTAGACCACCATTGAAAACCTGGAAGCACTGGACGGCCGTTTCGTCCTGGTATGGGACTCCTCAGCAGTGCGCATCCACGATCCCGCACCACGCGGGGCTCGAACCCAGGACCTACTGGCTTACATTAAGTTCAATTTCTAGTATAGAAAAATGCAATGCACTTCCTCACAATTTTATTTACAAAGATTTCATTTGCCTACTTATTAGTAGCACGAATTTTCAACATAATATATTTATAATACAAATAAAGTAAGTGATTAATTAAGATTATAGAAGACTATTAAGTTGCATTCATTCAAAAACTAAACCTTACGTGTACAGTAAAACCACACAGTTTTTTTCTGGATCCAAAACGAAATTAAAATATCAGCATTACGTAAACATTCCAACAAAACAATCACAATCTACCAAATATGGTTTGGTTAAAATGAATTCCTTCATCACATAGACATATAAAACAGTGTTCGGTTTTTATGTAGTCAGGAAAACTAAGTTCACATTGTATTAACTATTCCTACTGAGAATTTAAAGGTACAGGTTGACATAAGGGATTTCCTTCCAATGAGTTCTTCATCGATGCTGTAAGTTAATATAAATATATTGGAATTAAGAATAAAATCATTGCTTAATAAACGATAGTGTATCAATGTAACAATTTAATAGTGAGTTAGTAACATTACGGATTCAAATTTAAAAGAAAATCTTTGGTGATATTTCGAACTCCGTTAAATACCATAGCTAGTCATATTCTTACTCACACAAAGAGTTTATACAACCTCTTAATTGATCCCGGCTACCTAATTTGTTCTATAATATTACCCCCACAAAAAATTTCAGATTTCCAGAATATTTCAGTCTTATTAAATTCTAATTACCTTTTTCTTAGTACTCATTTTAATAATTACTTATCGGTAACGTTGCAGGCTATACATGACATTTAAATTTATATTCATTTTAAGTTCCTACTACCACTCTAATGTAAACAGTGTTGTTTAAATGATTATGAAATTTCATCTTAGATTTTATCTTTATTTGTTACTAACTAATTATTTGATATTTATTTTACACTTAATTTTGAAGAATGTGTATTTGTGTAGAGTATTGATGGGGAACCCACTGAAATGTAATTTCAGTACTTAGCTTGTACTTGTCAAACCAACTACAAATATGTATATTATCCACAGTAATAATAATAACAATGATGATGATGACGACGACCGTGACGACGATGATGATTAGAAAATGAAAACGTGAAAGGTACACAGTGGAAAGGATACAACAAATTCTGGGGCTTTTTTGATTCATAGTTTTAATTACCACAAATGTTTCTACGGGTGTATTGTGGTAAGCACAGGTTTCACTTAATATCTACTAAATATCTACAAAAGTAATCGAATGACTTTACTTAATTACGCCTGTTATTCCTCGTGAAGGAGCATAGGCCACTCACCAGCATTCTCCATCCAACCCTGTCCTGGGCAATCCTTTCCAGCACCTTCCAGTTCCTATTCATCCTTTTCATATCTGCTTCTATTATCCGACGTAATGTGTTCTTTGGCCTTCCTCTTGTTCGCTTCCCTTCAGGATTCCAAGTTAGGGCTTGTCTCGTGATGTAGCTTGATGATTTGCGTGATGTATGTCCTATCCATTTCCATCGTCTTTTCCTAATTTCCTCTTCAGCTGGAAGCTGATTTGTTCTCTCCCACAAAAGGCTGTTGCTGATGGTATCCGGCCAATGGATGTTGAGTATCTTGCGAAGACAGCTATTTATAAATACTCGTACCTTCTTGATGGTGGTTGTTGTAGTTCTCCAAGTTTCAGCTCCATACAGTAGAACTGCCTTGACGTTGGTATTAAAGATTGTGACTTTGATATTGGTTGAAAGTTGTTTTGAGTTCCATATGTTCTTTAACTGTAGGAATGCTGTCCTTGCTTTGCCAATCCTTGCCTTTACGTCTGCATCTGAGCCTCCTTGTTCATCGATGATGCTTCCTAGATATGTGAAGGATTCTACATCTTCCAGAGTTTTGTCATCAAGAGTGATTGGATTGAGTGTCGGAAAGTTTTACTACAGTGAACAAACAAAGTTCAATCCAATAGTAAGTAACTATTTTCATACAAATAACTCTACCAATCAATTGATTTATCCTAATATACTTTTTTAACTTAACCTTTAAGCTAAATATTTTGCTTGAGCAGAGGAAACTCTGGAAACATGCTCTATTCAGCTTACACAAAAGTTTTGAAATAACGGTTATCACGTTCAATGTATGAACAAATGAAGAACTTATCTTTAGTATTTCTTTCTTTCAATGTTCTAAAACATCATTTATAAAATTAATGTGCCAGTTTCTGAATAGATTTTGTAAATTGATTATATAAACTGTTGTTTATAATATTCATCTTAATATACCTACACAAATTTTGTCTTAGAAATTAGAACAGTGTATAATATTTTACTACAAATAAGACTGAATGACTTTTATAGCTTATATTGATTTTCTTCTTTTTTTTTAAATGCCTAGACATACCAAAATGTCTTGTTTCCACTTTCAGGGAAAACTACTGAAAACTTTAAAGATGCACCTATTTGAATCTTTCAGTCAATGTGCAAGCACGATTTATTTTCCTTACCTTACTAAAGTTATGCATTATATATAAAGTAACTGTGTATGTGTACTTCTATTAGTAAAATTTGATGTTACTGTGTCTCCATGACAGTATATATATATAATTAGATAAACGGACATACAAGTATGTAAGAGAATAAACATTTTATCTAGGTTTTTCAACCACTGATTTCTTTTTTAATCAGTATGCCCTGCAGATCTTACCAATCAGTACCACTGAATACCTCATGTGGGTGTTTTCCTAAAGATGAATTAATAAACGACAACAACTTGTTGTATATTCGTTCGTTGTTATGTGAACATGAAAAGGTTTGCCAACAATTATTGACCAGTTGCGTAGGTGAAGGATTTGATGTGACGCATGTTGTAGCATAACTGATCTGATAAGCAAAAACTGCATTAATCCTTTTTGTAAAATCTTTGTTTACTTATTAATTTATTAAATATTAATGAATATACATGTATACTTAATATATATATGAATAACAAGTAAACGTTTTCTCAAAACAAACAAATGATTGAACAAAAAGGTGCTTATCACCTAAGAAATAAACACATCGTCTTTTAATTTACTAAACAAGAGATGTGTAGATGATTATTTCGTTTTAAAAATGCCTCCTGTATTCTGCATTTCTTTCGATTTCACAAAATTGCATATATTTTGATCCAAAGCACTATACAATTTAAATCATTGCATATAAAAGAATGACAACATCAGAAATGGAAGGTGGTCGATTTGATTTTGACGATGGTGGAAGTTATGTTGGTGAGTGGTGTGAAGGAAGAGCACATGGGTTGGGTATAGCTACTGGGCCAGAAAATCAGGGCGAATATTCAGGAGAATGGAATATGGGTTTTGAATCAAGAGGTGTATATATATGGCCAAGTGGGAATATTTATAGTGGTACTTGGCTGAAAGGGAAACGTCATGGTGAAGGTGTTCAAATCAAAGGACGCTGGGTTTACAGAGGATCATTTACAACTGGGTTTTGTGGTCGTTATGGAATCAAGGAATCTCTAACCAGTTGCGCAAAATATGAAGGAAGCTGGCATTTGAATCAGTTTGATGGTTTTGGCGTAGAAACTAATTCAGATGGAAGTAAGTATGTTAGTTCTAAAATATTTCTAACCTGAAACATTAAAATATACTTGTCCCAAGCAAGTTTATAACTTCTGTTGTATCATTTTAACAACATTTCATCTCCTAGAAACCATATGTACTTTCCTCTGGCACTATCAGGAAATCATAACTAATTAAGTTCTACTATGACATTCTAAAGGACAATCCAAATGTTCTTAGAGGCTGCTTTTTTAAATGAAAAATAACCCTACATCAGTTAATAAAACAATCTAATTTGTAGCAATGCACTGATACCCAATTGATTTAATAAAAGGATTTCAAAACCTATTTTAGATCTTTCAGTCGATTCGGTACCTATCAAAGTTGAAGAGAAAAACAAAGCTTCCAGTAACTCAATAAACTTCCTTACTACTTGTAAATTTAGTAAGTTAAAGGTAAATCACCTAATGGGTTAATGAATGACTTTCTGTAAGACTCATTGAAAATAAACACCATTATTTAGAAATAAGTCGAGTCATTTGTTTATTTTTACGTTACCCCTATCGTGATCGCTACAATGTAACGATTTTTACTTACTTATTGTTCAGTTAGTTTGTAATGTACCATTTATATAGACAATCTTTATCGGTACAAATAATTTAACATAAATAATTTCACATTTTCACAATTGAATTCACGAGTTGATCAAAGCTAGATCACCATTGAAAACTTAGAAGCACTGGACAGACGTTGGATACCGACTCAATGGTCTAGAGTTTAAGCGTTCGCAAGCAAGACCATAGGTTCTGAGCTGGCGTCCCAAGCGAGAGATCCTGGATGCGCACTGTTGTGGAGTTCCATATTAGTACTAAGCAGCCGTTCAGTAGTTCAAGGTTTTCAATAGTGGTCTATCTTAGACCAACTCGTTCGTTCAATTGTGAAAATAGTACAATCTCCACAAATCCCCATACGGATAATTTCACGTTTGTTGACTGTCTTTAAATAAGTTAAAGAATAAATTTATCTTTGTCTCTACAATAAAGTAGTTATTAAGAGATTAAGTAATTTACTGACTTAACGAATTCATAGGTGACAAAATATTTCGAATTAACAACCACTAACAGACATAAGGTTGAGAAAAAACTATATCAGTATATGTCACTCATTTGTTACATATTGACGGTATATACCATTTTTTATCTACCTATACAATCCCTCACTTGTTACACTAAGTAAACATCATTAATAATAGAAAATCTTGTATAAAAGTTCGTATACATAGGAGAAGTTGGTGAAATACTTAATGTTTCTATAATAGAGATTTTGACCGGAATTAATGAGTTTATTGACAGCTGGTAGATATCTTTTTTATCAGATTATATATTATTTTCAAATCAAGAATTCACTAAATATTCCGTTTGATACATTAAAAAGACAAGTTGAGCCAAGAAATATTTCTTTACAACTATTTCTTCATCAACGCACTACACCAATATAAATTTTTACGAGTAAAAATTCCATACCAATTAGATGGTGGTGGATCAGTTTAACATTATAATAATCACTTAGTTACATAAAGTTTGGGAAATTAAAATTAAGATGAAAACTAAGCTGAACTAATATCATGTGAGAAAATATACCAAGTTAACGAGTAAGGATAAATTGTTTCGTTCTAGTTTGAAACTCTTATTCAGTGCACACTCATGACATTATACGAAGTAGAATATTCAATATTTATCACATAGAAGAGTTTGTTCATGAGAATCTTGAATAAGAAAATCTCATGATTTCAACAAAAAATTCGTCTTCAAAAACTATAAACAATCACTAAATACTCATTTAAACATAAATGCTATTCATCTATGTTTAAAATATTGAAACTTCAGAATTTGTAACATAATATAATCTGTATAAAATCATCACTTGTATTTATAAAACGCGAAAATCTCTGAGAACAGAGGGTTTTACTGATTTTGATGGACATTTATTCTCTAAGCTGAATGATTTGGTTGTGGAGCTTTCATCGTTCTTCTAAAGGACGTCATCATCACAAAATTCACCTGAGCTACAAATCTTCACCATCTCAAAATCATCTGAAGTTTTACTGATATCTCGAAGATTACAAGTTTTATGTACTATATTAAATTACGCGTAATACAGATATCAAGAATAAAATTTTAAAGGAATAGTAATTAGTAACTTGGGGAAAATTAGAGTACGTAACACTTAATATTAAAGATATTAATAAAAAAGCTGACGGAATAGTGTACGGTTTCGTATATTCTTTTCAAACTGTCACCTTGTACTAGTAAACGACATATCAGGATCAACGGTAGAATTTAAGAACTTAATATTATCAGACTATCAGTACAACTTAATAATACCATTCATAATATGGAAAAATTAAATAAGGGTTTATATGTACATTGCACCTCTATGTGATACCTTGAAGTAATAAACGACACCAAAGTACATAAATAATGATCTATCTTGCTGACCAAGTGACAGTTTCTAACAGGAACAATTAATACTTTTCTACATACATAACTAACATGTAATTTAAAAAAATAGACGTAGAAGTAAAAGACAAGTTTTTTTATAGTGATAGATTTCTTATTTAAACCTAATCAAGATGAACGCTGATCACAACTTGGAAATTCTTTTTTGGTGATGAATTATGATGTATAAATTTGCTGCATGAAACATTACCTGGACTTGTTTTGAAATGCCTTCATTTACTCCATACAATTAAACTCCCACCCTAAAATCAATGTTTCTTCGTGGATTACCATCCGAATAATCAATGATTTATGTGTTACGTGTAAAAACTACGTTTGTATTTGTTGTTAAGTTCTAAAATAAGACTCACTAGTCAAACACTGAAAATATTTTGAAACTGATGACTTATCGATTGTGTACTTTGTAATTTAAAGCTTGATAAATGTCAACAAACTGTAAACGTTATCCATCTTATACTCAGTAAACTGTCAATTTTTTCGACTAAGTTTGTATATTAGATTGGCTAAGGTTATCTATAACGTCTTTAATATTGATCAAGTGTGCTTGATTCAGGATTTATGATCATTTTCCTCTTTTGTTAATGCATTAATGCTGAATACTTGACTATAATCTTGACTAATTATTTCATTACGAACGCTAAACTTAACTATATTTCTGTTTCCCTATTCGGTGACTCGGGACCCATAGAAGACAACTTTGAATGAATTTAGACATACAAAGTGAAATCTGTGGTGAAAATAACATTCGAATATTCAACAGTGACTCATCAAAGGAATGAAAAATAGCTCGAAATGCTGGTACTTTGTAGCTAGTTTGTTTTACAACAGTTTTCAAAAAAATCTGATGATAAGAAGCATTCTCTTATAGCCTTATTTCTGAACTATTTATTTAAGTCTAATCGTTAATAGTCATGTTAAATTATCTCATTTTAAGAACATGACTTCTCATTATAATAGGACACTTAATAACTTCCAATGATGTTGTTAGGTTGTTATAATAACGTTCATGCTATCGAAATATTTTCTATATTAGATATTCTCAGACGGTATTTCACATAAGTTATAGTTGTGTTGTTCTCAAAACTTGAGATTTGATTAACAAATCTACTCAGTTCATATTGAGCTTATACTGAAAATGGCACTGTAACTCAAGCTCAAAGTGATGTTCAAGAAAACTTAAAATTAGATAGTAAATTTATAAGTTTTTAATGTAAAGACAAGCAAATAACAATTTTGTGGGAGTAATTTTAAGAATGACCGCTTGTGAGTAGTGTAAAAGTCTCGTTATTCAATCATAAAGTAATATGATACGAGATGAAAGTAAAATTACGCCGTGGCCACATTTCATCCATTGTAAATTCTTTCTAAGACATCATTAAACAAGAATCCGTTGCTTTCTCCTAAATAATATTTAATGTTATAACATCGGTTGTAGTGAACGAGAACTCAGGTGGGGGAAACCAATTTATTGTTTAATACAAAATTACGAAGTTCTTTCGTAAAATGTGAAACCCATACATTGAGTACTTCATTTACAAATCTTCCATGAATTGTCCTTCAAACCCCTCATGATTTTTCCGATTTTCCATTCCTTTATGGTTCCGTTCTTGTTTTCTTCAGCTCATTCTTTTCAACCTTCTTTTGAAAAGCATTCCACTTCATATTTGTGTTACATACTGCTCATGTCTGCCGACATAAGTAGCATACACCACGCGGTGGCTGCGTTACAAAATCACAATAATTTCATCATTACAGTGAATATAAAATCATCTAAATAATCTAATTCTAATAGAATACATTAATTTACGTGTAGATCAGTATTATTACCATCTTATATTTTGATTGCAGTTACTATGACTAAAATAACTAAAAACTACTTAGATAGCGTTAGTCGAGTGAAATAACTGAAGATTGGTACTTATAATGAAATGTTTACTTTTATCTACTTTCATCCTAGATTTCAAATAGAATATGAACTGTTTTTATTTAATTAAAATACTTTAGTAAAATAATCATTATTTCTCTCGGGAACAATCGTTGATTAAAAGAACTGATATAGATTATAGATTTCTAAAATGGTTTGTTCTCTCTATCTGTTAAACTATACAATATTATAAGCAAAGATGAATGGTGGCTAGCAGTAGAATTCACTGCCAAAGATGATTTATTATGATTGGTTGAATTTCCGTCACACGATAATTAAACAAAGACGGTTCTGAATTTCATTGGTTGATATTTTAGTATATATTCTAGCATAAAATTTGATTACATTAAAGAAAAAACAACTCTTGAATTTAGGGCTTGTTAAAGTTTTGGAGCCCAATAATATTGATAAAATGATTAACTGTCTACAATGCTACACTTTTGAGAAATGGACTTCTCCATAGTATACTGAATAAGTTTTAAATCATTCTCGTTATGCAGATGATACACTTAATCGTGACGCTTTAATACCTTCGTTAACACCTACCTACTAATTAAATTAATAATCCATGAGATTTTTTGATGGCTACTAACTTA